AGGAGTTTTGTCCGCTTGTAGTCATGGTGGTTTGGTCGAAGAAGGCTATTCCCATCTAAACTCGATGGTACAAGATTACTGTATCAAACCTGAGAACCGCCATTATGCTTGCATGGTCGATGCTCTTGGGAGATCAGGAAGACTTAGAGAAGCTGAGAGTTTTATCAACAATATGCCTATTAAAGCGGACGCCTTGGTCTGGGGAACATTGCTTGCTGCTTGCAGAGTTCATGAGGATGTTGAACTCGGGAAGCTAGCTGCAAAAAAGGCTATAGAGCTAGAGCCATCAGACGCTGGAGCGTATGTTTCACTCTCGAACATCCTTGCAGAGGTGGGTGAGTGGGAAGAAGTGGAGGAAACTCGAAAGCTGATGAAAGGAACATGTGTACAAAAGGAAACTGGGTGGAGTTCTGTGTGACGTTTAAACTTTGGGTATGCATTTACAAGCTGCAAGGTTCATTTTTGTCATGTGTTTGGGAAAATACAGAATGTTCAGACATAGTTGCAGAAGTCCTAACGATTGGACCTAATGTTTTTAGAAATATGGTTTGTTACACACTTCATTTCATTTGTATGTTTGCTCATTTAAGTTTTAATGAAAGTTGGCCGACAAAAAAAAAGATGCAGAAGTCTTGCTCCGAGTTCTGAAAAATCACTGAAGAAAGAACAATTGAAAGCAATTGGAGATTGAAACTGAAATTGCTTGCATTGTAGAGAACTTTTATCACTGTATTTTAATAAATTTAAATTTTATTTATTTTAAATTTATGATTTACTTTTAATTTAACATAGTTAAATCTAAATTAACTAATTTATATATATTTATGTTGTTTAATGGAATTTTTTAGATTTGATTTTTTAAAAATAAATACTGATGTGGAAAAAACAGTTTTAAATAAACCAATCAAGAGGTGCTGATGTGTTGACGCTAGAGAGCCTCTTTCTCTTTCTATAGATTAGATTTTATTTATTCTAAATTTATGATTTAATTTTAATTTAACATAGTTAAATATTATATAAATTAAATATTAAATGGAATTTTTTAGATTTGGTTTTTTTTTAATAAATACTGATGTAGAAAAAACAATCTTAAATATACCAATCAGAAAGTGCTGATGTGTCGACGCTGGAGAGTCTTCTTTCTTTTTTATAGATTAGATATGTACTAGTTGATTACATGTACCATGTATGGGGTAAATATTAACCACAATTCTTTTATTCGAATATGTAAATATAATATATATATATAAATACAACTATAAAAATGTTAGCTGATATTTATAATTGCAAATATATATGACATGTATGCAATTATAATAATAATCAAATTTATATTTATTTTATAATACAATTGCATAAATTCTATGATTTTATATGAATAAAATTACACATTAAATACATTAATTAATATGTTCTATCTAACTGGTCTAACATCAGACTAAGATACTTTGCTTTGATATAAAAACATATAAATTATAATATGTATGAAAAAATTTAGATTTTATTATTATTAAATATATAATATGATTATTTTTTTAACAAAATTAAGATTAAAGAAAGATGAGATAAGAAAATAATGTTTTGTAACATAATTAATATTATGTATTAAATTTTATTTGATAAGAAATAGAAAGAGAGAGAATATCTTTACAATTAAATGTTTGAGTATTAAAAATATATATTTGATATAAACTAATCTTTAACTAAATTAATGTTAATGACATATGATGTAATTAATCTAGTAAGTTGAGTCTAATTTTAAAAAATCATTGAGAAGCTCTTTGAGATTGACACATCAGCATAACAAAGTTATTAATAACACATGATATAAAAGTTATTTAAGTGTCCTTCTCAAATAATAATAGAAGATCACAGACCCATGTCTTTAGGGTTACCTTATCGAATCAACTTGTCTCTTCTTCTCTTACTATGTTCTCTTCTTCGATCACTCTTAATCTCTCTTCCTGATATATGCTTGTCATACTAAAACGACCAATTAACTTTGAGATCAAAATTCAAATGGTTGGAAATCAAGAATCAAGCTTTTCGAGATAAAGCAAACTTCTGAAAATCAAGAACCAAACGTCTGAAATCAAACATCAATTGAAATTTAAGAACCGAACTTTTGAATCAAGAGCCAAAAAGTAGAATTCATGATTCAAACGGTTGAGAAGCAAGAACTAAATGGTAGAAATGATAATTCAAATAGGTGAGAACCAAGAACCGAATGTTGAGTGAAAAGCAAGAATCATACTTAGGAGAACTGAAACGGCAGAAAACAAACGGCTAATGATCAAGAACCAAAAAGTACAAAATGAACTGTGTACCCTATTAGTATTTGTAGTTTATCACTTAGTAATTTAGGTTCGAGATATTTAATACCACACGAGAGTGCTTGTTGATATATCAAGTGAATATCTTGTACTTATCATAGCAAATGTTGGTTACAATGTATAGCATCTATGCCAAAAGTGTATGATTATGAACTGTTATGATCCAAATAAATGATTTATTCTAGAAAGATCTACAGCACAAGTGTATTTTCTTTTTTAAATGTCTGGAGCATGCTCAAGAAGTCACAAAAACCTTCACCAAAAGAACCATCTTTTCCAAGTAGAAGAAGGTTTTGGGGATTGATCATGTTCATGTTTTTTCCTATTCTCCATTCCCTACTTCAGTGACTCCAGTCATTTTCTGTGACATCCACACACAAAACTTGGCTTTAAGCTAAGAGGCAGACCCAAATCAAACAAACATAAAAGGTATCATAATGCTAATAAACAGTCAATAGCTCAAATAAAGATTAATGTAAATTAACAGCAAAATAAAAGCAATTTGATAAGGTTTGTTATGGGTTCATCTAATTTCATGCGGGGAAAAAGCTTTAAAAACCCTCAACTATTTAATATTTGCTAGTTTCCTACCCGAACTTTTTGCGTTACAAGAAATCTACATGAACTAATTTTTTGGATCAAAAAACTACTTGAAATATTTTATAGTTCCAGTTTTCACCCCACGATTTCACGGCCGTTAACGGTCAAACGGAATTACTAAACTCCGTTAATTTCCGAAACAAGAAAAAACTGAAAAAACCCTCAACTATTTAATCTTTGCCAAAAAAATACTTGAACTTTTTATGTTATCAGAAATCTACATTAGCTAATTTTTGTTTTTGTTTTTTAAGTTAAATGACACTAAAAAAACCAAAATATCAAAGAGTTTACAACAACTAAAAACAAATTATCTCTAATAGGATTCGAAATAAATTACGATATATTTTTTTGAAATTATGATATATTTATGACTAAAGATTCTGTAGATGAGTGCTTTATTTTGTTTTTGGGCTGATTTAATCTCCACTAAGATGATCTTTGTAGATGATTAAAAATATCTATCACATTTTATCTCAGTTGATCACCTACTAATTTATATTTATTACTCTATTATGAACCACTGAAATCACTGCTCCAAAGAGTCAATTAGTTATGAGCTTATATTCAAATCGCCTACGATGAGAAACAAACCAATATCAAATAAATAACTATCAACGAATGAATCTGGGGAGAACCATTAATGGATGTGAAGTAGTGGGGTAAAAGCTGAAACCGTATAAAATTTCAGATTTTTTTGACACTGAAAATTAGCTTGTATGAGTTTTTGGTAACACTAAAAGTTCAGATATTTTTTTGGCAAATATTAAATAGTTGAAGTTTTTTTTAGTATTTTCTTGTTTTGGAAAATAACGGAGTTTACTAAATCCGTTTGACCGTTAACGGCCGTGAAATCACCGTTAACGGCCGTGAAATTGTAGGGTGAAAACTGGAACTATAAAATATTTTAAATAGTTTTTGATCCAAAAAATTAGTTCATATAGATTTCTGGCAACATAAAAAGTTCATGTAGGAAATTGGCAAATATTAAATAATTGAGGGTTTTTCTAATTTTTTTTTCCAATGATAGTATTTATTATTATGAAGACCGTGCAAACTCCATCTCTGGCGAAATCCCTTCAGCTCCACTTGCTAGTATCAAGCTCCTGATTATAAAATCAAATTAATTATTTAGTTAACATGTGCATTAAGACGATCCTATTTTGTTCTCCATCTCTCCCTCCCTCTCTCTAAGATGCTGCAAGATCCACGGATGGCATCTTAAAGCGAAGAAGTGACCTTTGATTCTTCCTCTGCGAAACAAGCCAAGAAAAAACGAAAACAAAGAGATGGTAATATAGACAAGAAAAACAAGGTGAAAAATGAAGAAGAATTGTCTGAGCTGGTTTGGGGTTGCGAGGTCAAGGCTAAAAGGAGGAAGAAGAACAAGATTCCTTCACGTTCAAACTTAATCTTCCTCTTGGATCTTGCTTAGACTTGACCTCCAATCCCAAATAAGCTGAGACAATACTTCTTCATTTTTTTGGTTTAAGGACAATACTTCTTTATCATTTGAATTTACAAAGAGAGAGAGTCTAATTTTGATCTAAAGTTTTTGTTTTGGTTTGATCTAAAGTTTTGGTTTTGGTTTATATGGACTATGGAGGTTAAAATCTGCTTTTTATAATTAACTAAAGGTTACAAAAAAGAAAAATAATCATTTAGCCTATACACTCGGCCAATAAACGCAAAGGCGTGTTTTGGACTCCCCCTACCCATATATTGAGTAAACGAATTGACTTTTTGAAACTTGGAATCTTTAGTGATAAATTTTGAAAGTTTGAATTTATACAAAATATGTTCTTCCCCTATTTAACACTTCTCTCCCTTGTTCTAAATAATTTTACCCACTAATTTTTCTATATATTTTTAAAAATTATTTACTAGTTTGTGTCTTAACTTTGACCAATGTGAAAGAACCTATAATTATGCATGTACTAATCCTTGAACTAAATGCTTTCCACCCGTATGTATGAAAATCAAGAACCAAACCTTGAATGCTAAACCATTATGAATTTTGAGTTTCTAATTTGGAAAAATATTGGAGGATATCTTGGTTATTGGGAGAACACTTTTCATATCTAAAGATGTTTACATTGTATAGCATATGCGTCACAAGTGTATGATTGATTATAAACTGTTATGATCCAAATGAAAGATTCATTGTAGGAAAAATCTGTAACACAAATGTATTATTTTTAAGAATGTACTAATCATTCTGGAGCATGCTGGTAAGATCACAAAAACTTTCACCAAAAGAACCATCTTTTCCAAGTAGAAGGTGGTTTTGGAGATTGATCATGTTCATCTTTTTTTCTACTCGCCATTCCCTGCTTCAGTGACTCCAGTCGTTTTCTGTGAAATCCACACACAAAAAACTTGGCTTTAAGCTAAGAAACGGACCCATATCAAACACATTTCACAACATGAAAAGGGCATTTCAATGCTAACAATCAATAGCTCAAGTAAAGCTATGATGTAAATTAACAGCAAAGTGAAATCGATTTGATAAGGTTTAATATAGGTTCCTCTAATCTCATGCAAAATATTCATTCCATGATAATATATATTATTATTATGAACATTGTTTTTTTATAAGGTTAGGTTTTGTTACAGTACTTGGTATCCGTCATCCGACCGTGCAAACTCCATCTTTTACGAAATCCTTCAATTCCTTCAGCTCCACTTGCTAGTATCAAGTGCCTGATTGTAATAAACAAATTAACTATTCTAGTCAACATTTGGATTAAAACTTGGATTAAGAACAAAGTTTTTAGGGATTTACATGACACTTGGTAACACATATCCGAAAACAAACTCTTCTCATATATTATACTAATCTGAATCAGTGCAATGTTTAAGAAATAGTACCTCTCTAGTGATGTGGCTTCAGCTTCAAGCTGAGTAATTCGTTCCTTAGCGAGATCAATAGGCATAGACGATCCTAGCTTGTGTTCGCTCTCTTGAAGTCTTACTCTTAATACCTTGTCCTAAAGAAAGATTATAAGGAAACCAAAAAAACTCAATGAAATGGATACGAGATATGAACAGCTTTACAAAACAAATATAATCTGAGATTCAGAGCAGATGTTTCATGTGGAGCCAGAGAGTATTACCCTGTTTTCAGCACATTGTCGATACAAGGCAAGCTCATCTTGGCAAAATGGTTCAATATCATTGATTTGCAAACCTAAAACCAGAGAAGCAATCCTATATAAACTTAACCGATTTGATAGGAGAAAAAAACAGAGGATGCAGAGACTTACATAAGAATAGATTCCTCAAAATCCCATCACACAATTCAACACCTTCGAGCACATGTGAAGCAATTTCAGGAGGGATGACAGGAGATGGAGGACCCATCATTAGATCGTCACCGACCAAAATGGTCTCCTCCATCATAGGTTGTGAATCAACTGAAAATAAGACATCGCCAATATTACCAACTTTTACAATGAATTCATAAAGGCAAATAACAAAAGCAAATAATATGGACTTACTAATACCAAAATTCAAAAACTTTTATCACTAGGCGACCTCAAATTTAATTTCTTTTTAAAAAAGGAAATCAGTTTCCATGCACAGATTGGGATTCTCAACAAGTTATAATAAGAAATTTTACATCATATGAACAAAATATCACAACTTGATAGCGTTTTCACCAGCAAACATTGTAAGATTGGATTTCATTTCACAAAACAAATTCACAAATGTTTCAGTTTCCCAAGAATCATTCACTTACCATCCATGACTGCTCCGTATCAAAAAAATGCAAGAACTGAAGAACAAGCCAACCTTGGGAACCTGAAAATAAAAAACAAAGACAAATCATATAAGAAAAAAAATAAATAACATCACTTAGGCATTTCGTCGAACAGTTTCTAGGCTTAACAAGTAAGTAAACTTTTTACCCCGCAAAATGAGAGGAGATTCAAATGGGATCAATCAGAAAGCATCTAGTGAAATCGAAGCAACAATTTTTTCAGCAAAAAGTAGATAATCCAACAAATCCGATCAAAAAGTCCAAGTTCTCAGCGAACTTCTTACCGTCCTTACGAGACACTGTTGTTGCGAGGACACAAAATCAAGTTTCCAAATACGATGTCGTTTCATGTTTGATAGATAATGGTGCTAGGAAAAACACACATCAGCAGAGAATAAAAAACGACACGGTAAAACGACAGCTGTAAAACAAAAAACACTAGTTATTAACTGTGGTTTACACATATGTGGGAGTGTATCATGAATTTCTTACATATCTTATAAGATAAATATCTTCAATTTCTCGATCGTTATGGTATGAAAGTTATAAATGCAATTAGATACAAAAACAGGGAAAAAGGCTGTTTTTTTACTCCAATTTGTGTCCTGATCTTCTGTAACAACATCCTCGTGCTTTGACCTAGACTAAAGGTAAAATTCAAAGAACAGAAGAAGTATATGTCTTTTTATATGTATCAAGTTACTGTCGGTAAGTTATGGTGTGTCAAAATCAATATTGTCACTCAAAATCTAGCAGAGGTTTCTTAGAACGAGCAGCCAGATTCTGTTCTCTCTGCTCTGCGACACTAAGCAGGGCTTTGCGTCTAGCTTCAGCGCTTTCCAAGTACTCTTGTATTGGAGGGAGAGTGATTTGTTGTTGTATCCCATCAGCTTTTGCGCGACGAATCAACTATATAATCCAACAATTTACAAAAAGGTTAATGACCTGCAGTTGTGTTAACATTTAGTCAAGTGTAGAAGATGAAAATCTTTGTTTAACCTTTGAAGCCCATGTCCTTTCTGCTCCTTGACATACATCTCGAATATCCCTTCCTGACATTCTGCATAACCAATCTAGTGGCCTTGAAGTAGGTCGAACAGAAAGTTTCAAACTTTAACAAGATATGCTAAAAGAAAGTTAGAAACTTTACGTTTCTGTGGCCTGAGCAAGCTGGACTAGTTCAGGCTTTGAGAGTTGTTTTGCGTATTGAGCGATGATTTCTTGACGGGTTTGTAAGTCTGGTAAGCTAAACGTGATCATAGAATCAAACCGGCTAAAGATACACAGGTGGAGAAACAATGGATACGGGTCAGGAGACTGCAGCCAAGGAGAGTTGAACCGGTTTGAGAGGTTTTATATTGCTTACCTGATCAAAGCGGGATCAAGATCTTGTTTTCTATTGGTTGCAGCAATCACAACCACTTTTTTGTCCTGTTCAAATCCATCAATCTGCAAAAACATACAAGAACCAGTTTCATCATAATCGGAAATTTCTAGTCTCTCGAGGATATGCTGTAACATTGGTAATCTTGTGTGTCTTACCTGTCTTAGTAGTACCGATAAAACTCTACGTGTTGCTTCATGCATCTCACTATCACGAGATATAGCAAAGGCATCGATCTGGAATGTGAGTTAGACAAGTATATTTTTAAATTCATAGTCAAATTTTGATAGGAGACAAAAAAACGGACAAGGATATAATAGAAGCAAATATTTTCTTCACCTCATCAAGAAATATAATCGCACCATCAGAGAGCTCATTTGCTTGTGAAAACACAGTCCCAAGAAGCCGCTCGCTTTCACCATAGAACTTAGACATTACAGCTTCAAGTGGCACATAAAGCAACGGTATACCCTGCCAAGAACTTGCAAGAAGTTAAGAGCTCAACATTCAAACTCAGAAAAGGTTTAAACAGATTAGCAAAGTCTTGACTACTCACCGCTTGATTAGCAATAACACGCGCGCAAGATGTCTTCCCAGTTCCTAAGGTTTATGGATAATCAGATCAAAACTCGTTTCTACAAAGAAAGACGAATTGTAAATGCACTCTTCTTGTTCTAACCTGGTGGGCCCTCAAAGAGCACAGCTCGGGGTCGGTTCGATTCAAATTTGGACCGTGTACCACGTACTATATCATCATACACTTGAGGGCTATGAAGGGCCATCAATATTGTATCTTCTATTTCTCTGCATCATGATAAGAAGCTAGTTAAGCAACTTTATGGGATAGAAGAGAAATCATGTAACTAAAGCTTACCGCTTTTGCTGATCATATCCAGCAATATTGTCCCATGATATCTCATCGACAGAATCATCCCCAAGAGGTTTGTTAACTCCATAGATTCTCACTCCCATCGATTCCAATTGAGAAACAGTTTTGTCCGTAGACGTTTCACGTGCGTTACCTCCCTTGTTTTGTGCAGCTTTTGTTCCAGCTACTTGCAACACTGAAACAAAAGCTTCAAGTTCCTCAGTAGTTAAGCTTCCCTTCTTAATGAACTCAACTTCCTGAATCAGTTAAAAAGTAAAGCCAAGGAACATTTGAGGAAGAATTAATTAGTGAATTCCGAAAAAAGAAAAGAAACTTAACCACTTTATCAGACGTAAGTAAGGAGCCAAAGATAAGAATGCACAAGTCTTCATCTGCATCGTCCTCACTGCCTCCTACTTCTTTCTTGTTTTCCACACTGCGAAGTGTTATTTGCCAAGCGACTGGACTGAAGTAGCATCAAAAGAGTAGCGATTAGTTTTACACTACACATCAGGCTTACAAAAATAGTTCTCGGACAAAATCTTGTAGAACATGACAATTACCTGTCCCAAGCACGCAACAGCATGTCTGAACCACCAGTACGATCTGAGACTTTGACGCCTAGTTTTGTTCCAATGTTTGCTATCAATTGCGCGACTTCACAAGAAGAAGGAACTTGAAACTTCAACGTAATCTACAACGCAAAACACTCTATATTAAAAGCCTGCTATAGCACACATCCAATTCACAATTAACATTGAAATTATCGAAACTAGAGAGAATTTTTTTTAAAACAAAGATCATTGCAGTAACCTTTTGGCTCCTGACAGCAACATTGAACCGTGGGTAAGAACCATATTGAGTTCCTTTACTTTGTATTAGTTCTTCGACTCGAGCTCTTTCTTTCTTAGCAACGTCTACATAGTTTGGTGGAGGATCTATTGGGACAGATGACTTCTCGTTAGCCTGCAATATGTTAAGTTTTAAACTAGAATCATTAAAAGTAGCTGTGTCACATAGAAGAGCTAAATTCATCTATCAACACTGAAAATGTGTGTGTGTGTGTGTAACAAACCTCTTCAGAATCAGCATAAGCTACTCCTATTGCTCCAAAGCTGAAGAGAGCACCCAAAAATGCAGGTGCCATAGAAAAGCATGGAGAATCGTTGAAGGTGCTGCAAGGTCTCAAGACTTCATTTACTTTTGAATTACTCTGCTCAAAGGTTCCTGAAAAAATCAAAGACAACATCGAACTAAGAGAAAATGAGTATTTATGAGTACAACAATACCAAACATCAAAATTCAAGAAAATAACATTTGAAAGTCGGAGTTTTATGTTAAGGATCATAAGAAACATTAGATGCTCATGCTCTCAATAACTCAAAAGCCCCTATTTTTAAACCAATTAAACGAATTCCGATCGAAACCCATCAAGAAATCAAAAAGGATCATCGCCAAATTATAGGAAATTCACAACGGTGACGCGTACCGTGATGGAAACATCGACGAAGCTCTCGTCCCCGTGAGTTCGACGGAACCATGGATTTAGGATGAGAGAGAGATCCGCGCCATACTCGAGCTGCTCGAAACAATCGGTGTAGAACCGCCATAGGATTTGCCTTCACACAATTTCTCCAACTCAAAACCTGTTTTGAGAGCTTCAAGGGGTTTATGAGGTTTTTTCAGGACCGTATAAACAAAGTTCATGTGATTTATTCAATGATTAACCTTCCCGAGAAAACCAACCGGTTCTGCTCAAGATACCGATTAAAGAAGTGGGTCTATATGTTATGTACCGGTTTACTAAGTAACAAATGTTTTTGTTTGCTCGTGTCTCGTGATAATCATTGTTGTTTAATACATCGGTTGAAAGCACAAACTATAAGAAAATTTAGTTAGATATTTCATACACTAATCTAAACTTAATCATTTAATTTAAAATAAAACAACAAATGGTCATATAAAACGTACATTTAATTTTTATTTACATTATAAGCAATGCGAGATCTGCCCAAATCCATAACAATAAAACAGACTCTGGAGAGTAATTAATAATCAGATGGCTGATTTGACGTTAAACGTTTGAATAATTACTAACCAAAAGTCAATAAACTTTCTTAATAAAGAGATTACGGAAGCCAAATAGACTATTAGCACTTGAAGCAGCAGCAACGTTACTATTACCACTTCCATTCTCATCGTCCCTGCAGCTTAATCGACTCCGAGATCCGGTGCAAACCGGCGCATTTAAACTCAATACTTTCGGTTTATTATCTTCTTTAACTGTTTTACCCCTTCTCACCTCTCTAATTTCCATTTTCCCCATCGTTCTCTCGCCGACCCAACCCGACATCGGTTTACCCGTCGGATCTACGCGCCGGACCTGCCAAACCGGGCTGCTCCGACCCAAATGCACACCGCCTCGAACCGGACTGTTTGGCCACTTCCTCGATTTCGATTCGCCGGCGGAGTTGCTCCGGGAACACGGCGCGCTGCTTATTTTCCGGGTCTTCGGAGCTCCGAACGACATTCTGGGTCGGGTTAATTTATTCCCGGCGGATCTGCTTCTGGAAAACGGCCAGATGTTGATGTTCAGCTCAGCCGCTGCTGTTAAGCCCGAACCCGACCCGGTTTTCTTCTCCCTTTTCATGTTCTCTTTCCGGTTTTTCACCGGCGGTTTGTTCTCGCTCTTTCTGAACAAACCTCTCCACCGCTTCGAAGCCGTTTCTCGGGTCAATTCGGGTCCGGGTACTGACTCAGGCTCCGGGATTAAAGAAGCAGGCGGGTCAGAAGCGGGTGGAGATGGGTCCGGGTCGGGTTTGAGGTTTAGGAAGTGTAGAGGAAGAAGAATGCCGTCGTGAAACAACTCGTCGGCGGAAATGAGATTTACGTTGGGCTGAGTTGATGAACGGTTCGTGTCACGCCAAAACTCGAATTCCGGTGAGTTGTAGACGGAGCTGGTCATTTTAATCCGGTGAATTGTGGACGAAGAGAGTAATTCCGGTGGATTCCCGTCCTTGACGGAGAGAGTGAGTATGTGGTAAAAAAGTTAATTAATGTTCGTGCAGAGCGAGCATATATATACGAGGGAAAAATAATGTCACAAAATATTATTTTCCAAAATTGTGATAAATTGTGACTAATGAGAAGTTAAGTAATAAGTAGAAAATATTAGGAAAAAAAAGGGGAGGTGAAGAAAAGTTTAACTCTTATGAAAAAAAAGTTTGGAATGTATAATTTATTCTTCTTTTAAAGCAAAAATATGCTTTTTATTTGTTTGGTTTAAAGAATGAAAAAGTTCAGAGTACTGCATTTTTTACCTTTTTTTTTTTCCTCTTTTACACACCAGTCATAAAAACCCTGTTTACTGTTTACTCTCAGTTTTAGAAAAACTATTACAATGTACATTAAATCATATAGTTTGTTTTGTTTAATTCTGTAAAAAAACAATGTATTGTTAAAATATTACAATGTACGTTTCAGTGGTAGTTCACATTTTTCTTAAGAATAAATTTGTTTTCAATCGCCCTATGATTATTTTTTTTGTTAAACTTTAGAAAATAGCAAGTATACATAACAAAAAAAAATGGTGTGTTATTAGTTAGATGGAAACAAGCTAGGGAACAGAGTTATTAAAAGTCAACATGTTACGTCCATCGCTTGCGTTAGTTTACATATCTATGAGACTGACTATGATTAACCAACTTGCGATTATGCATGGTCTCACTATTTTAGAAAATAGTTTACATTACATTAATGAATTGTAGGATACCACCTCAAAAAAGAAAAAGAAAAAAAGAACTAGCATGAGTATGTTTTTCCAACTCCTCACAAAAAGTTGTTAACTGCAATTCTTCATCATTTCAATTTATTTACTATTACATTCACATCTAGTTATATAAATTCACCAATCCCTAAAAACTTATAAAATCTCTGACCAGCTTATGTAACTTTCCCCATATATGTATGGCATCTTTAGTCTTTATATGAAAGAGAAATCACATCAGATACAGAAATAGTTTTTTTTTGTGAAATTAAAAAAAAAGTAACAAGGGTGAATAAAATAGAAAAAGTTAATGGAAAAAGATCAATATCCGTTGTACGGACTACGGAGATATAACATAACACGTTTTCTGCAATCTGCTAGTAATAAACTATTTCATCTAACGTCAAAAAAAAACTATTTCATAATCTTTCACCTTCACATATTAATTATTTTTTAGCAAAATGAAAGCCTAGTTATTGTAGTCGTGTAAAATGAAGTGATTTTTATATTATAATCTCATTTTCCACACGAAATTGATTCCTAAATCCCTCGGAACTTGATCATCTTTCGGTTTCTTGATGAATTTTCCCGAGAAAATCTCGATAAACTTAACACCAAACAAAAAATGAAGCTTTATCATAATTTGGTGTTGGCCCTTTTCCATGTTTATACTGACTCTTCGCAATAACCAAAATTACCAAACCCAAACGTGATGTCATTTCTCACTTTCTTTTCTTACGCTTTTACTTCATAACAAAAACATCTAAGTTTTAGTCTTTTAGATTCAATGTACGATGCCAATGTCAATGTGATGTCATCGTAATATGACTCTGTTTGTGAAAGTCCTATTGGGTGAAACACACAGACACAGTACACATCTGCAATGTAACATTAACTACGTTAGTTATTAGATTGAGATTTGAGGTTCTTGGATTTCTCCATCCGTACACCTCCCAAGGTTACGAGTAAATTAAAAAATTTAAATAAAAACTAAACCAGCCGTAACCGGAGCAAGGACCAGATTATCATACCGGATATTGGTATTCCAGTTATGATTCATCTGCTACATACCAAAAATAGCAGTATGAGTCTTGGTATTATTATTTTGCTTCTCCAGTCCAATACTCCAGCTTCCACAACATAACGGGTTGGTCCAATTCGGGGTTAAATATAACTGGTTACTTCATAAACCCTCAATGTCTCTAATCTATGCCCAACATCTTCTCAGGAATCACATCTCCACCGTTAATCACACATCAGATTCACCAAAATACAGACGATTACTCTTTATCTACAGTCGGTTAATGTCCCCGCCAAAATCCTAAGGAATCATAATGCGGTAATCGCAACACTTTTTTCGTAGTATTGTCTAATCTTGGATTATTGAAATGAAACTTGATTTTTGGGTTAAGTTTAATAATGAGTCAATGATCACATTAATCACAATTGAGCGCCACACCTAAAAGTTTTGCATAGGAACAATGGAATCATATTAGCACTTTAAACCTTTCTTAAAAAAGATTGATGGACTAAATGTCTAGAGTCTAGACTCCATTAGGATCAAGACCAGCAAAAATTGATGAAGTCAATAATAATCAAGACCAGCAATTATTCTACAAAACCACAGAGGAAGAGAAGGTTTTCTCAGTTGAGTCAACAACATTTCCACAAAACCTAGGTTTTAACCTACCAAATATGTAAATGCATGGTAGTAAATTAGTAATCATTGTTCAACGTTAGGACTTAGGAATCAATCTTATCTAAGGATCAAACGTTTCTTGTATTAATCATAATCACTGACATGTCACAAGTGCAATATCTCATCCAACTATTGATAGTCCAGATCATATAAGAGTATGGAAGTAATAACTGATAACTGATAAAGACCGTATATGTGAGCACTTGTAAATGTGGGTTCCTCTTAACCTTCCAAACTCATCAAACTCGCCAATAACAACTTCTTTAGAAAAGCTTCGCGAGCCCTTCTATTTTTTTTCGTCAACATTTGTTTTTCTTGCTGGAGAAGAAATCTTTTTTTTTTTTAATTATTATTTTTGTTTTTTATTAGTATTTGTATCGTTTGTTTATGTTAACCATTGAGAAATAATTTTAATAAACGAAAACGGATCAGAAATAGTGAAACAACTTTTCAAAGATTTGCAAGCTTGAGAGAAAAAAAAGGAAGTGAAATCCAATGAAAAATGATAATACGGAGTTTAGGGGTTTAAATGAAACATGAAACTAAACAAAGCGACCAGAAAAACAGCGACTATTCCCCGAAATAACCTTCACTATCTCCACGGTAAGATTTGGGTGATCGACGACGAAAGTCTTGAACTCAGTAGAGAGAGAAATCATACTTTTACAATTTCTGATGGTAAATACGGCTGCGCAGCATCAGAAATTCCTCATAAAAAAAAATTATGACTGCATCATTGATGGCTTTGTCAAAAGGGTTTTGGGCGAGAACAAGAATACTAAGAGCATTCGAAGAGTTAAGAGATGATATAAGCTCATTTCTGCATAGGTCACGTAGATGGGGAATCTCATATTTGTCGGCTGCACAATAGTGACCTAACGTGTTTCTTCGCTTTCTCTGAAAGCATAGAGCCGTCGCTATAGATGAACTCAACGAAAGCCTCCAATTCTTCATGTTTCATCTCTGAGAGAGTGATTGTCTCGAGCCTGGACGAAGCCTTGCATTTGTCTGGTTCAAACATCTTCCTAAACACCTCTGATCTTGCAGACTATACAAAATCACATAAATGTCAAAGAAAGCACATTAGCTAATGAAATCATTTCATGTAAGAGCATTTCTAGGAATTTCTTACGAATCAATGAAAAAGCAAAAGGAGTAGTAGAAGAAGAATTCACGACCAGAATAAACTTATGGGCAGAGATAGCTGCCTCCTCATCACTGTCACATGCCTTTAGAAGTACATCGACTTGCTGTTCTTTCAAAAACTTTACTAATCCATCCCAGAAAAGCTCTTTGTTTGATTGTGTCCCCATATCTATATCATATATAACCTGGATTAAAACTGGGAAACGATTGTAGGTTGTATATATAGAGAGATTCTAGACGGTCAAATTACTTTTACTTTCAATTTTCACGACCTTTGGAAATGGAGGAGACGTTAATATACTAATTAAAATTCACAAATTATCTGCGCTCTTCCATGCATTGCTAATATTATTAATATTTCAGAAAATGATATTAATAATATTTGTAACTACCTAATAAATGATTTATTTGAGATTAAAAATAACTACGTAATAAATGATTTATTTGTAACTCTTGTTTAAAAAAAAAACAATTTAAAGATTTTATTTCAGTCGCAAAAAGCTTTCTTCGAAACTCTTCAACTACTTCTTTTCTCATAAACCAAAAGACTTTTCAACTACTATTTTTCTTTAAAATTGTGTTTGCTTGCTTGACAAGCAACATGCTTTCTAAATATTTTTCACATTTGGATGTAAGTGAATTTCAAAAAGACTACTATAAAAACTAATTATTAAAAAAAAATTATCAAGTTTGTGAAAACAAATAAGCCCAACCATAAATTAATAAAAAGGATTATGTGGTTTGTCAGAGTGAAACACACAAAAGCTACAATGTGGTTCTTCGACCAACGATCACAAGCTATAACATGTACAGTACGAGTAATTCATTGTTTCTACTTCGATTAAAAAACAAGCTTTCATTATCTCTAATGTAAGAATTGGGTAATTGGCTGCAAACAACTTGAACTCACCAGAGCTAACAATCTAAGGCAGCGCCGAAGAATTCCCGTGTACATTCACTCGTTAATTAATCTATTATATAGACTTGGTTAAGTCTTACCAGCTTGACACCTAAGAGCACCTGTATTCATGATATTTTTTGGGTTTCATAAGCACTAATTTTAATAATAGTTTAAGTTTTGAGATCCATTAAGAACTTTTTAACTTTTGTGGTTTATTAATGATATTCATTTGGTCTTAAAGAATAAAAAATTATTTTTTTAAAAGAAAATAAAATGCAAAGAAAATAAAATTTGTGTATATAAAAAACAATATTTTTATTGAAACTTGAATAACACATTAATACAAGATGAAAAAACATATAAAAACATGATGAAAACACAATTTTAAGTCGTTTTTAGTTTTGATTTGTGCCATATTTATTCCAAATATGTTGAACCAAATCAGCTTTCAAGTGTTCATGCACTCTTTTCTCACGTATTAGAGCTCGATTGGCCATCATGTTGTTCACGTTTGTAGGTGTATCTGTAGAGAATGCGTAGTCCACTTGTGAAGTTCCGCTTCCTTCTCTTTCCATGAAAGCATATAACTCAAATTGAGTGCCTTGGTCTCGTTCGTTTTCTACTATCATATTATGCAATATGATAGATGCTCTCATTATCTTGCCTATTTTTGATTTATCCATACACATAGCTGGGTTTCTGACAATCGCAAATCGAGCTTGCAACACTCCAAACGCACGCTCGACATCTTTTCTAACTGCTTCTTGATAAGTAGCAAATAATGATTCTTCAGGACCTTGTGGGTTAGAAATTGATTGGATGAAAGTCGCCCATTTCGGATATATACCATCTGTCAGATAGTAAGGCATACGGTATTGGTGTCCATTGACTACGTAACTGACTGGTGTAGCTTTACCATGTAATATATCATCAAAGACGGGTGATCGGTCGAGAACATTTAGATCGTTACAAGTACCTGGTGCTCCAAAAAATGCGTGCCAAATCCAAAGATCTTTTGAAGCCACCGCCTCTAAAACGATAGTCGGTTTTGCATGTCCACGTGAATACTGTCCTTTCCAAGACGTAGGACATATAAACACACACACATGCACCAAATGAGCAGATAAACACTTACCTACTTCGTTTAAACCATCTTAAGTAATAGCTTATTCTTCAAAGCTACTTCCATCTCGGTTAGTGGCTCTTTTTTAGAAATCAGACTCTGAAGAAGTTGCTTGTCGTCATGTCTTTCTGTAGCGGCCACATCCTTCTCCTTTATGGCCCACAGCTCCTCCAACAGCTTTGCAGCACCACTTGCACCTGCACTTTCTTCACTCTTCCTCCTTTTTTTCCCTTTGGCCTTGGAGGCCTTAACACCCATTGGCCTCTCCTCTGTTTCTTCCTCCTCAGGCGAGCCGGCAACAGAGCTTGAGGAAAAGTTAGGCTCTTCACTGAGCCTACTTCGTTTGGAGCTTGTACTTTTTACAGTACGCAAACTGGTCCACTTGTGATCATTTCTCAACAGTCTCCAAGCATGATCCAAGGTAAACTTCATCTTCTGGTCCTGGAAATACAGTTGGTGAGCAAACTGGATCACATCATCATCATTCTGGCCACTCTTTCTAGCCCTTTCAGCAGCGTCCATGCACCCAGCAAACTTGGACACCATCTCATTGATTTTGCACCACTTCTGCTTGCAAGTATTGGCCTCCCTGATTGGAAGACCGGCCACAGTACGACTACTAGCGTAGAAACTAGCAACTCTATCCCAGAACCTCCCTCCTCTCTGCTCATTCCCAACAATGGCATCTTTAGATGTGTGTAACCAAGCACATATGAGGATCTTTTCTTCAGGGATAGTCCATCTGTGCTTGACTACTGCATCTTTCAATGTCTCAGGTAAAGGTGATTGTGGTTGGGAGAAGATATTTGGAGTGTTGAAGTTTGGAGTGTTGATCCCTTGTTGAGACAAGAGATCAGTGAAGTTTTGAGATGATGACAATGGAATGGTAAAATCCATATCCATTTTACTACAGTTTGGTTTCTTCTTCCAAGTTATGTCCGATTATAGATGTTTCCATTATAAAGCAGAAATCATCACTTAATGGCTACCTAAATTTTCTATGTTTTGTTAATTGTTTTGGTACATTTCATTATGAAAAGTGTAATTGAATACACTTTTGCAGTTGGCTGATATCTCTATCACCATTAATTCATCAGTTACCATTAAGTTTTAGTTTAGTTCAATTTATATTTACTAGTTTACTTCAGAACAATACCATCAACCTCTTAATGAACTCCTCAACTACCTAAATTTAATGAACTACACATCAAATCAGAAGGAAAACCATCACAGCAAATCAACAAAGCAATGAACGATATTATCAGATAAAAAACCATTAATGTTTCTCTAACTCATTCTTGCCCAATCTATCTAACTCATTCTTGCCCAATCAAAGATGAACCAAGCAATCTATCTAACTCATTCTTGCCCAATCTAACTCAATCTATCTAACTCAAACAAAGATAATCAATAAACGAACTCACCAGGGATGTGATTGTCTGAAACCGTTCTTGCCCAATTCTGATCCTTCTTCCACACACACATGCAACCGGTTTTCACACATGCAAAAGTATTGAAAATGTCAAACATCTCGCAAACCACTATCGATAAAAAGAATAAAATCAAAAAACATCGAACAATGATCTCATGACACGGAAAACGAATCGATCAAAACTATAAGGTTGTGACACGGCGGAGAGAAGAAGATTTACCGGGAAGGGATGGCTCTGACACGGCGAAGGAAGGAGGAAGACGACTCGGCCAAGGAAGGAGGAAGACGAGACGGTGAAGGACCACGGCGGTGAAGACGATACGGCGAGGGACCACGGCGGTAAAGACGAGACGGCGAAGGACCACGGCGGTCTCAATCGCCGTAGTCGCTTCGATGGAGCACAAAATTTTTTTTGGGAGAAAATGAAGTTCATTTCGCAGATCTCCCCAAAAAAAAAATAAACAAGCCACTCAGATGATGCCACGCGTCCCCGTGAAACATATTTGAGCTATTTCAAAAATCTTGTTGGGCTGAGACGTTTTAAACCCAAATCTCATTTGACCCAATTATTTATTATTATTTGTTGGGTTGAAACTCAAAAAATATCATAAATACAGGTGCTTTTTAATTTTTTACACATCACCTGACACATCATCTTTTTAATTTTTTTTTTAAAAACGAGACAATAATTATTTTCTCTCCATCAATTTTTTCCTCCTTTTCTCTTTGTAAAACAAATTGCTTCAACGAAAACCTAAGTCAATATCGCCGTTCACAATCTCACTCTCGCGGCAGCGACGGCGGCGCATACAACTGGTCCCATGATGTTGAAGTTTCGGAGATGGTACCAGCGATGCTTGACGGTTCATCCACAGCTCATCAGCTCCAGCTTATGTAGATGATGAAGCTGTACAAAGATTATGAAGACGAGGTGGAAGAGAAGGAAACGGAGACGACTCGAAAGAGAAGTGGCAAAAAAAAGACAAGCCTAATGACGCCAGTCCGATTGGTGAATCGGCAAAGGAAGAAGAACCCATTTCGAGCAATTGGAATATGAACTGGTGAGTTTGTGTGTTATATCTCTTGGGATTGTTCATTCTGAAATTTAGGGATTTAGGGAATTCAAAATTATGAAATTTAGGGATTTAGAAAGCTGGGTTGTTAATCACGTACTCAGGGATGGTTGAGTTTTTTTTCCCTCTTCTAATTGAGTTTCTTAGTGCACCGTCATCCTCATCGTTAGACCCAAACGATCCATATTTAGTAATTTACGCTCTCTTGTGTATCTTAAAGTTATCTCTTTTGTTTGTTTTTCAAGCCATCAGATGGAGGACAGTTAATTTTCTTAGTACATCATATGGAGTTTACAACTTTAACGAGCTCGGGTTACAAAAATGTACATCTTCTTCTCATGTGGATGAATCAGAGAGCTGTGAGACCACATGTCAATGTGCTTCTCATGAAATACATGTTTTTGGAGCTATAGGAAGCGGTGCTAGCAGCGTTGTTCAACGCGTGATTCATATCCCGAATCATAGAATTCTAGCTTTGAAGAGGATTAATGTCTTCAAAAGGGTAAATATAGTGTCTTTCTTGATCCAAGGGAACATGTGAATATTTTCTTCATAATGTTTTTTGTTTTTGAATATTAACTGATTTGGTTTGAGCATTGCAGGAGAAAAGACAACAACTGCTTACAGAGATACGGAGCACTGCAGGACTTGTGGATTTTCACAGAACGTTTTATAGTCCAGACTCGGGACAAATCAGCATAGCTCTTGAATACATGGATGGAGGGTCTCTTGCAGATATCTTGAAAATAACAAAGAAGACACCTGAGCTGGTTCTGTCATCAATGTTCCAAAAGCTTTTGCAAGTAAAGATACTTAACCTTTGTTTTGTGTTATGTTTTGTGTATATAAATTTATTCTTGATGATGCGATTTCGTTTCAAGGGGTTGAGCTACTTGCAAGGATTAGAAGGCTTACCTCTCTTCCTTGGTATGTATTACAATTTAAAAAAAAAAACATAGACAACATTTTACACAACAAATTATTTCCAACTTATTATAAGCCAACGAAATCTAAATAAAGCATGTACAACTAACAATCTAATTATTCTTTTTAAAATTAACTAACAATCCAATTTCTTCATCAGTTTTAGCGAAAGAGAAGAAAGATTGAAGAGCAGCTTCTCTATCGTCTACTCCAGCTTCTCTTGCGTTATTACTGCAACTATTTTACGACTTCTATTCTATTTCTACCTCCACTATGTTTTCTGCATTTGATAATTTAATTATCAGCTTCATGTAATGTTTTATTACTGGAATACAATTAAATATAAAAACATAATTATAATTAAAAAGCAAAATACAATAACAAATATAAGAATAAAACAAAATGAGAATATATCAAAAAAATCAAATGAATGAATGTATCTCTACTACACAACCCCGCGTGTATACGCGGGTCTTATCCTAGTGTTATATATAAAGAGTGCTCAACTCTCTCTAGCTGATTGACACGTCATCACTGGAGAGGTTGACACATGTCTCATACAATCTTAATTAATAAAAAAATTATTCTTGAAAAATCTAACGTCAATCTCTTCATCCTCCTCGCGAGTCTTCCCGATAAGTTTTTGGTCGACGGCCATGGACTTTTTGTCACACGATGTTTGATTGATTTTCACGAAAATCTTTTCAAGAGATTTCGATCTGCCTCAGAAAACTTTCCTGGAGCAACCGAAGCTCCTCCTGATTTACTGCTTCTAATCAGGGACCAAAAACAATCATTTCCGTACATTCTATAAGCATTTCTTCCCATTTTTGCAGGTGATTTTAATTTCTTTTTTCTTTGATTCAGCATTGTGATCGAATCCAAATTTTCGTCTCTTTTCCCTCTCTTCGATTTTGTTTTCTCGACGGTCCCCAAACCATATACCACAACTTTTGGAGCTCCTTGTGTGAAATAAAACTAAAGATGATAATAAGAAACACGTCTGATGGATTAGCTTCTGTGAGCATTAACACCATTGATTCTCTACCAGACGCAGCTGCACCATCTCCTCCTATGGTAAATCAATCTGAGTGGCGCTACGTGCCAACTGTAACAGAGGAAATGAAATTAACTTCAGATGTCATGGGAAGCCGTCTAGGAAAACCTCCATCCTCCATGGAAAGTTCACCTCCTTTCATATGGTCTGCTTTAAGTTCCACAAAGGTCCAAATCCAGCCATTGTCCACAACTGATATCCTGCTTCAGATATGGGTTTCTCGCTAGGTATCTATAATCTCGCTTCGTATAAACTTAACTGGGAGCTTTCTGCGCATGAAAATGCATCGTCGTCAGGGACATGCCAAGGCTATCCTTATTACATTACTGTTCTTCAGTCTGAGTGAGAGCTTTATAGCTTTAGAAAGCATGAAAATATCTTATGGTATGATGTTTCGTTGTCCTCTGTGTATTCGTTTTTATGGTTTACGTCTGAGTTTTCAATTTTGATTGTATCCACTTGTTGTCAAGAAATGGTTTTAGTAGGAGAAAGATGAATTTTTATACTAAAAGTGGGGAAAAAAAGGATGAATCTTATTTGTTTGTGCCGTGGGATAAAAGATTACATACACTACTCATGGCCATTATAAGTGTTTATACCTTTTAACTATAATTTTATTTACTTGAACCATTTATAAGTTAGTTCTATTTCGTTTATTTAGATTAGATTATGTTTGATTCTTGAGAGGAATATTTGAGAAATTGGAAATGCAGAAGAATTGGGGTTTGAATTATTTATTGGGGATTAAAATGACGTGTCCTATGCCCAATTATTAAAAAGAAAAATCATGTATATAAAATTTCAGTTGAGTTTTTAAGTTTCAACTAACAATGTGTTCTCAAAAAATTTTACTTACCCCAAAAAAATATTATATACCAGCTTGCAAGAAGGCGCATAGTGATATCTGCAGAGTGAAGATGGCGATTGAAAACGCAATAAAAAGATCCAGTATTTGAAGAGGATTGTTTGCAAGTCAATATTCTATTGGAGTGGCTTGTCAATTTTTTCTTACGTCATTGGTGCTATATTTTTTGTATCACATGTATATTATGTAAAGTTCATTTTGTTTCTGTTTTGGCTGCAGAAACTCTTTAAGATGGAGTGAAGGAGCACTACTTGGATATGAATGTCCTTGCGAGTAGTAGAAGCTATACATGAAGTTATATTAGACACTCATGGGTCAATGTCCTTCTGTTTCAGTCTCGCCCACTCAAAGCTATCATTATCTTCTATGATCCAGAGTCAGACATGTTCTGTCGTTAGTCTTATATGAGAAGGAGGTCCTTCTCGCTTGGTGGTATGCATCTTCTCTCTCTCTCTCTCTCTCTCTCTCTCTCTCGTCTGACTAATATGTGTGTTTTTGTTCAGTGATTCACTTAATCGAGATCGTTGTGTCTCTTTAGCACTACCAACAAGACAAAACAGTTACAACAATGTCTTCATCCTAATCATTGGGAGGACTGGTCTCCTACTACAATAATCTAATTGTTGGATGTCAATAGGTTTTGCCAATTAGTCTAATTATCAATAAGACATTGTTGGGCTAGAAATGTGTTAAATCTGTGTATGAGGTATCCGTTGATGATAAATACATTATCAAAAATGAAAAGTGAAAACTATGAAGAATATTTTGTTGACAATAAGTTCAATGTACCGATTAGTTTAACACGTTAACTGTCTCCATCTGTTTTATTATAAAATATGTATACTTTATATCATAAGTTATTTCGCTTATTCCATTCTACTTAAATAATAACAATAAAAAAAATTTCAGATCTACATCAACAAAAATCTGTATTATTTATCAAAATTTTAAAACAGCCAAAAAAAGTAAAACAAATCATTATTATGAAAACTACCTGCACGTAGTGCGCACACTCATCTTGCGATGCAGATATTTGCTATAAATCAAACATCAAAAACGATGAACACGTGTGACATTTGGTAACCATCAAACATTTTTCATTTGCTAAACATCAAACATTGGTCTAACCTTAAGGTTTCCTAAATCTCTGAATTAAACTAAGAACACAGAACCAAAAATGCCTTCTACAAGCGTGTTAAGCATCAAACCAAGCTAAACATGCAAAAAAAAACTGAGCTAATAAAAGACATGAATGAACACAGAGAAATCATAGAACCACACTTATAAGCTCAAAACCAGCGAATCGACATCAACTAATCATTCTCAGCAAAACAAATCCAATCAAATGATATGAAGAGGAAGAAAAAATGAAATTACCTTAAGAAATATCTGATCTTTTTCTTCCTAACTTGACTAAGTATTTCTTTCATCCTTCAATTCTTATGTCTCTCTTCAAGAATATTTCTCTCACAGTCTCGGTAATTTCTCTAACCCAATTGTACTTCCCCTACGTATACAATACAATCTTTGTAAGTATAATAAGAAAACAAATTAGAACTATGTAAACAGAAAACATTACAATCTTTATCGAACATTACCGCAAATGTTCCGGTAATCTGGTTCTGACTCTGGATTCTGCTCAGCCACTTGTTGTTGGTTGGGATTTTGCTGCTGGTGAAGAATCAGAACTTCCTCAAGATAAGCCGGCGGATAGTGGAGAGGCGGCAGCGGATATTGAAGAGGCGGCGGTGCCAGAATTTGATGAGGATGAGGCGGCGGTTGCTGGTGCTGTTCAGGGTTTAGAGTAGCCGGCGGATGTTGAGCATAGAGAGGAGCCGGCGGATGTTGTGCGTAGAGAAGAGCAGGCAGTGGTTGTGTCGCTGCTGGATACTGGGTTGGAAGCTGTGAACGAGAGATAGCGATGGCGATGTCGACAGTGTGCCGTTTGAGGATGGAGTCGAGGAGTGCAAGGACGATCCCCCACCATCGATTTGTGTCCCACCTCCGGTTAATCGGCTCCCTTCGCCGGATTTGCCGCCACAACCCTTAGTTGAACTTTTTGGTGGCATTCTTAGGAAATGGAGAGATTTAGGAGGAGAAGAAGGAATTTGGAAAGATATTTCGGAAGAGAAGAAGAAAGATGATCTGTTTGGGAGTATTAGGTATAGATTCGAGAGAGATTTAGAAAAAATTTGAGAGAGTTAGGGTTTGTCGAAGAAAGAACAAAATTGGCTAAGTGTTTAGAAATGATTGAGATGAATCGAAAGTGGGAGAGAGAAAGGGTTTTCATGTATAATAAAATTGTGAGGGTCATAGATTAGTCGCAACTGTGGTCGCATATGAAGAATGGAGGGATTATTTTGCCGCTTGATATTTCATAAAATTTTCGTACTTTTTGAAATAGTCACAAATTAGTCGCACATTAAAGTCATAAAGTAGTCACTAATAGAATTTATAGTGGCAAATAAGTTACAAACTGTGACTCTTTTGTGACGACAATTTGTTAATCGCAATTCTATACCCTAAACCCTATAATTTTAGGGTTCTGAAGGTTTGAATATGTTGTTTAACTCTTTTTTACTATACTTCAAAAGGATAATGCCCCTCTAAATGAATAAAATAGAATTGTCTAACTAAATTATGAAAGTTCAGCTTTTTGAAAATGATCTTATGTATAATACATGTAACACTTATAAGAAATGTTTAGGGTTTGCAAACATATGATTAATTAAAATATGTGATATTTATTTATTTTTTCTCTTTTCTGAATATTTAAGGTATAGATTTGTTCAAATAAAATTTAAAATGTTAAACATATCATATTTAGAATTCGGTTTTGAAGTTTCTCTTTTTAAGAGTTTAGATAGTCGTTAAGTAGTAAAAAATCAGTCTCAGATTCAGGTGTTCGTCGCTAAATAGTCGCACAATCGACACTCTTGGCGACTAATATACAACTACACTAGAAAATGTTTGTTAGTAAATGTATAACAGAGGTAGTCGCAAAATAGTCAGTTAGTTACGACGTTTTTCTGACTCCTTCCCAAAATTTTTAAAAAAATTTTCAAGCTGAGAGTCAAACTCTCAACCTCTAATTTCTATACAAGACTCATATCCAGTAAGCTGCATTTTTAACTCATGAATTGTAGTTTAGGAAATGAATATATAAGCTACACTAAATTTTTACATTTTTTTTGGATATGCATACTAGTTATGTTATAAAGATAAATAAATTATACAAATTAGAGTATTAATCAAATTCTTCATCATCATCATCTGAAGTTGATAAGTTACAAAGAGATTCATCTTCTGCTTCAGCGTCTTCGATTTCGTAATCAATTTCTTCGCAAGGTTGAATACCCTCTACCAAACTATCAATTTCGATTTCCTCAATCTGACCTATTAAACCGACATCAACTGTTTGCTATTTCTAAAACATGTTGAACTTGACATTCATTCTCTTTTTTCGATGTGAGACTTTTACCACTTCAAATTTTTTAACTTTATTGGCAGACAACTTTGCGACACAACAGTAATGACAGAAAAACGTGGCAAAATGGTCGCTGATTTGCGACTACGTTACAACTACATTTCCCGACTAAAAATACAGTCGCCATATAGTCGCAAATTGAGACTGATTTGCGACTATCCCTAAAAATTGAACTATTCGTCGCTAAATAGTTGCTAATTATTGACTACTTAACGACGCCCAAGTTTCGTCATTAAATACCAAATAATATGTGTTTATGTTTTTGGTAGTCGCTTTGTCGTCGCAAAGTAGTTACAAAGTAGTCGCAAATATTTGCGACCAACATTGTGGTCGCAAACGGTAGTCGCAAAAACTGTGTTTTCTTGTAGTGACATGCGATATGACGAAATAACTCTTTATCTTCTTCGCTACTTAACCCATCGTAGCTGACTCTCAAAGTCTTCTGAATGTTTCCATCTAGCCTATTACGAAGCCTAGGAAGCATATCCATCCAATCCCCTATGTTCCTCCCTCGCAAATACGAACCCAAAACGTTGAGACCCAAAGGAAGACTAGCTGCACGCTTTCCAACTTCAGAAGCAAGTCCCATGAAACCATAAGGTGGTGAATCTTTCTTGAAAGCATATCTGCAAAACATCTGAGAGCTTGCTTTTCAGACGGGAGACCAACATTGTAAATATATTTAATCCCATGGGCTCTCAAAAGATGCTTGTCTTTTGTAATCGCAATGATTCTGCTCCCACGTCCAAACCACTGAGTTCGACCAGCCAAGGCATCTAGCACCACTTGATCATCCAAATCATCAAGAACAATAAGAAGTTTCAGATGCTTTAGCCTCTCTCCCATTGCACCTATATGATCCATCTTTATATCCCTTTTCCCGAAAATCTCAGACAGAAAAGTTCTTTGCAAATGCAACTTCATGTTATAGTCATCTGGATTGGCCTTGTGGTAGTTTTTCTTACACCTAGATATGAAAGCACTGTCTATGAAGACACTACCTTGAAAATGACGAGAGAGTCGACTAAACAGAGCTCTTGCAATGGTAGTCTTGCCAATCCCCGAGGAGCCCCATATCCCAACCATCCTCACTTGCTCGGATTCCAAACGCAACAATGAACTCATCTCTGCTACGTGATCTTCGATGCCAACAAAATCCTCAAACCCCTTTGATAGAGTTAAATCCAGTTTAACCAAAACATCATTGGCGATTTCTTCTATCATTTTTGATTCATTATCCCTAACAATAGCAGCAACAAAGAAGATAATCGATACATAAGCAAAGAAACAACAACCAACAAGAATCAAAAAGTGCAAAAGACCGTACCATTTCGAAGAATGATATCCCAGCATATTAGCTACATCAGTCAAAGCTCTCCGCCACAGATTTTGCTCATCCGGTGTTTTGTTCTGGCAAGTCTTCTCAAAGACGTCCCCAAAATCGCCGTTCTGTTTCCTAACATGAGAAGGATCCAAACCGTAGAAAACCGGAATCACCAATAGACCAGTTTCATCTTTGCAGTTAACAATCTCAAGCAGCTCGTTCAAGCACCAGCTTGAAGATGCGTAGTTTCTGGAAATGATTACGACGGCGATCCTCGAATCCCTAATCGCTCATGTAAGCTCGGGATCTAGCGATTGGCTTCTCTCGATCTCGTTATCTTTGAAAGCAATTATCAATTTCCGATCTAGCTCCTTGAGAAAGTGACTGAGGAATTTTTGTCGAACATCTTCTCCGCTGAAGCTCGGGAAGACGTCGTATACCCAATTGCGAGGAAGAGAAGAAGAATGAGCCATGAAAAGATGCTTAGGATGAAGAAAAATGGCGCAACGAATGAGAGATTATGAGACTCGAATAAAAAGAAGACGTAAAGAGTTCGCTCACCTTCGTCGTCGTCTCCGATGAAACTTGACTGAAGATTCCTTCCTCAGTTGACTCTTGAGTTGACTGGGTGGTGTTTATTTTTTCTAATTTTTAATTTTGTTTTGTCAGCAGCCTTATTTTATTTTATTTTTTAAGGAAACATAAATCAGTAGTGAATAAAACTCTTTTTTTAACGTCATCCAGTGAAGTAAAGTACAAAATATCCATCCAATAACTCTTGAGCCTTCAATTTGTTAATGTCAAAAAATATGTTTGACACTTACCAATTTGGCTTACAGATATGAGAATGGGAAATTGCGTAAGATGATTTGGTAATAATTATTTATTCATTCTGGACACTATTTGATGTTATTATTGAAAGAAATATACCAATACATTTGATTAAATTAATTCAAATCTATATTCAAACATTTGTATGACAACAACATCCGCTGTATTTATTACATACGCCAAAATCCTCTTTATGTTGTTTACAAAATTCAGTGCAACCAACGTCCCCATTATGACATGGATCAAATCCTCCGTAGCAAGTCACGGCGTCAAACAATATTCTATTACCTGTTTATTTATAAAAATCATTAAACCAATATGCACATTATTCATAAGGACAAAAATCAAGTCCATAATTATTAAGTGAGGTATTTATTATATAAAGACTCAGTTGAGTCTCACAAACTTGACACATCAGCACTCATTTTTATGACACATCAACTCATTTATTTGTTATTTATTATATAAAGACTCAGTTGAGTCTCACAAACTTGACACATCAGCATTCATTTTTATGACACATCAACTCATTTATTTGTTATTTAAAAAATTAAATTAAAACTAATTATTTTCATAATCATTTTCTCTATAATTTGATTATTTATTATGATGGCTTTTTAATTTCAGCTTTTGATGTCTCCTATTCTTAATGACGCTTCAAACATTATTAATATGAAGATTTTTTTTCTACATGTTTCAACGCATATATGAAAGAGAAAAAAAGAGAAGAAAAAAGTTAAGATAACTCTAAATTTTCTGATAAATCTCTAATCTATAACTTTAAATTGTAACTTATGCACGTTCTATGTAGAAGCCTACAACAATAAACATTATCCACATATCTACAGTTTTAGATTTATTTATTGGTTACGGCCAGAGACAATAACGATAACACTCAATTGTGTTCGTTTAAAGGAGAAGAAGAATTTTGTTCGAGAATTCTATAAATAGTAAATAGCAAGACGACTTTCAAATTTGCTGTGATCAAGAACTCTCTTTTTTTTTTACTTTACTGTTTGAATATTAATTTGATACATACATTTCTCAATTATGGTGACTATGAACTTATGAAAGATGATTAGTTACTCTGAGAATTACTGATAAACTTTTTTTATCTTGCTTATTTGGGTTTTCAAAAGAGAAATTTGCTACTAATTTAATTTTTGTTACTAAACATTTTTTAACTTACATGATCATAGAAAAAGAAAAAAAAAATTATTATGACTTTTCATATTTTGATTATTAGAGAATCTATAGGGGTTCGCTTAACGGAGGGAAGATGATCAATTATATTGGCAAATGGTTAGCGTTATATTTCCAAGTTGATGATGCAGTGATCTTCTTAACATGGTTTGAATAAAACACTATAACAAATAATTGAATACAATACATGCATGGAAATCAAAGTAAACGAGCGTTGGAAACAAGCAAGGAAAAAAATGGAACATTTGTTTAGGTAAGTTAAAGATAACCACCGAATTTAGTAAACTTGAGTAAGTTTTACAAAAAAGTAAAAATTCGCTAATGGTTTGTTCTAGGTTGAATTTTATTCACATAACAGAAAAAGAAGAAGTCATGGGTGGTATAATGATCATGTAAGCTACTCTGATTTGAAGAACAATTTGATGCCGCAAATTTTTTTGTGTTTGAATAATCATGAAAATTATCTTACTACTTTTGATACCAGTAAAAGAAAATATTAATTACATATCTAGATTTGATGGATTCTTATATCAGATTTGTTTATGATGTTCAAAAAAAAAAAGATGGTGTAGTCTTAAAAGAAGAAATTAACGGTTTTTAGTAAATGAAAGTTTAATAAGTTTTTTGAAGACAAAAGAAAAAGCCAATATAAAAGCCAACCAAACTAAGAATATTTTAAGAAAATATGTAAAAAACTAACAAAAAAAAACCAATAAATTTATCCAAAAAAAAGAGCCGATAAAAATGCTAACAAAAAAAAAACACCTTAAGAAAATAAGTAAAAAATTAATTTTTTCTACATGAATATCCAAAAACAACCAAAAATCTAAATTTAATTTAAGTTTTAAGCATTAGATAAATAATAATTAAAAAAAAAACCCACGCATTTGCGTGGGTAATCATCTATTCTTATATATAATACTTGCTCAACTCTCTCCAGCTGCTTGACACATCAGCACTGGAGAGAGTAACATGTGGCAACTTAAAATCTTCATTAAAAAAAACGCTCACTCTAAAAAATAAATTGAGACAAGTTAAAAAGAAAAACACTCTCTTTCCTGCGTGACAAACTCATCTACTCAGAATCCTCAAATCCTCTCTGATATGTACTTTCTGAGGATCATTGTGAAACTTTTTCTCATTATCCTCTCTTTATGCCTATTTACCTCGGGTATGTTTATTTGATTCATATTTACTTCGTGATTTTGAAAGTTCACTTTTTCTTTTGCAAAAAAAGATATGAAGGTAGCGCTTTAATTACAGGAATCATGGAGAAGTAGAGATGTCGAAATCTCACAAGTGGTTGGTTAATTCATGTCGAGGATCTAATAAGGTAAAAAAAAAATACTCTTTGCTTCAGCCTTTTTTTTCACTTCATAACTTCATAATTCTGGTTTGTTCATAAGAACAGTTTGATCTCAATCTTTCTTTTGGCAGAACATAGTCAGCACACCGGTTCTTATCCCAATAACTACTTCTTACTCAGTATTCCCCTGTTTTGTCATTATGCCAAAGAACTCGGTCATTTTTTCATAGAAAGCAGGTCCCAATGTTCAACAACTCTAGCCAGACAAATAACGCAATGGTGGATTTTAAACAGTCACAACACAATACATTATGACAAAAAAACGTATTAGTAACGACCTTAATTGTTAGTAACGGATACATTAACTACACCTCAATAAACACATCAACAATTGGACAGACCTATTATATAAGCTCAAAAACAAAATCAGAAAATTCAGAGATCAAATTCACTGTTCAACAAAACTTACGGAGAGTTCATTTCCAACATTGATCTTCACAAAAAAAGCAGGAAAACTCAGCTTAAGAACTTAGAGTAAGTTGGACCCAAAAAAAGAAAAGAACTTAGAGTAAAATAAAATAAAATAGACCGAGTATCTCTTCTAAATTCTAACTTTCAGTTCCAGTTAGCAGGAACCAAACAAAGAAAGGCAATTCCTAAAACTAATGGTCACTCCAACTTCTTCCTTTTTTTTTATAATTATTATTTTCCTTTTACTCTTCCTTTCTTCCTTTTACTCCAACTTCTTCCTTTCTTCCGATAAGTTTAGTAATTTACTCAGTTACAATAATATGTATTCCTTTGGTTTGCAGTGAACAAACGAAGTCAAGCAATGGAATTGGTGAAAGTGGAGCATGAAGGTTAAACTACTGAAATATAAACACCAACAAAGATATCTGCTGAAATAATTGGTAAATAATAAATGAAAATTGGATCACCGGATCCAGAAACAGCAAGATCAAAAAGAGCAATGCGGATATGCATTAGAGAAGCCAAAAAAAAACAGGTTCCGTCTAAAACTATTCTATATAAATTTTCAAGTATGAACTGCATAAAAACCTTTTCTCAAAAAAAAAAAAAAACAGTATGAACTGCATACTTATAAAGACAATAGCTATAATGTGTTCAAATATGATATTAAGAGATACGATCTTTTACTTCATATCTATTGTCCTCCATAAATATATATGTACTTTTTCACTACAAAACTTATATTGAAACGAGAAAGTGTTATCAACCGACGAAAAAAAACAAAACGACATAAAATTTAAATTAAAAAGATATAAACAAATACCCGCGCATTGGCAGGGGTTCTCATCTAGTAAGAAAAAAACTAGTACCTCGTGTTGACAGTGTTGTCGTACGACTCTGAACAAAAGATATGATGAAAAGGATAGTGAATACAAATGCGACTAATTTTTTCATGGTGATAGCCATTTTGTGATGATATTTTCTTAAGACTGTTTAATGAAATTTTTCTCACTTATATCGCTGGTTATACATATAACACAAACATTGGAAAAAAATAGAAAAGAATATATAATGATCTCTTACCTAATCCATATGAATGGAGATTTATTCGATCAATAATCAAAATATAGTCAAAGGACCATAATTTATAGAGATATGTTGAATAGAAAAATGTCAATGGTTTTTACTAAAATGGATGGAAGAAAGGCAATTCGAAATTTTAAAATTAAAAAGTAATACAGAGTAAATGTTCGGTTTGAGGTTAAACTGAGAAACTTTTTCCCCAATAGACACATGTCATTTTAATAGTTTAGAATATCAATTAATAGTTATATGTTGTTAACTTTGTTATAGATTATAAAATATGATTATTTATCTATCAAGCTCTATATATTATGCATAAATCTAAATTATATATTAATATTATTTTAATTAATATTAGTTAAGGTTACACAATAACATTTAAATATTTAATTAGTGTTAGCATTATTTTGGCTAAAAAATTAATAATAAATATATTAGATAAAAAATCTGAGATTTTAAAAAGATATATTTTGATAATTTCTTAAAATTATGTATAATTCTTATTTTATAAGATTTTATCATAAAGATTCTCTAATTAAACAATATTACATATATTACTATTATTATATTGATGATATACTTTATCGGTATCTCACCAATAAAAACTAGGTGTTTAGTCCGCGCCTTGCGCGGGTGGAAATATTTCATCAAATAATCAT